TGCCTCCTTGGAATTATTTTTTGGATTTTTTCCCCAATCCTGATTTATTTTGGAATCAAATAAATTGTTTTCCCTCTTCTTCAATCCTTTCCATTCTTAAATTATTTTTGCTGCTGCTTAGTCCTGGCCTACTGGACCCCCTGTAAAATAAGACAAGAGAAGGCATCATGTGGTGGTGGAGTAAGAATCATCTCATATTCTAGGAATTTTGGTTGTGAAGGGTGACGATTTTTTGCCTTTATTTGTTTATTTTTCTTAGTTTTTAGGAAAGAGGGCTGTGTGTTTTCTCATGTTGCTATTTTCTTCTCCTCTTGGTGTACGTGGATGGGTTGGTGAGGTCGAAATAAGGTCAGATTAAGTCAGGGGAAGGAGCAATATGCCAAATGACATATTGACCTCAAGCGATCCTATTTCGGGTATGCTGAAGTGGGAGGTATGTGCAGCGCCACAGTCTGGGAGAAAGGAAAGGTGGACAGGTTCATGTACAGCTGGGAAAGGCAGGCAGCAGAGGTAGAGAAAGAGTTATGCGTAGAGGTGCAAAGGGAGAAAAAGCAGGCAAATGCTGGCCAAAAATGGACTAATACCCCTCTGGCCATTGGAATCTCCTTTGGCTACAACAAGTATGGAGAGGGGGATGGAAGGAAGGGGAGGCAGAGAGAAACAAGCAGGACACACAGAGAAAGGTTGGTGTGCAACCTCCCACTGCCCCCCCCGATCTTGCCAAAAGGAAGGGATGCCCCCTTTTTACACCTTACATTATCCATAAACATGTGCACACAGAGAGAAAGACAGAGACAGAAGGAGAAGGAAGAGGAAGAGGAAGAAGATTGCTTAGAGGGTGCAAAGCAGATTAAACAGGAAAGGGTGTTTGCGTGCATCTGAACAAGAGACCTCCCCAACAAGATCTCTGTATCCATGTAAAAATAAAAGAGACTCTTAGCACTCTGCTACAGATCTGTCACATGCATACCTCTTTGTTCATACTTTGCCTTCCAGATACACATGCTTTTTCTGCCTCTCTTTTGCATACAACAGAGAAACTCCCCATGAAAAAAGAGGAGGGGGAAAAGGGGAGGGAAGAGTCTTTCATTGCTTTCTTGTTTAATATGTCAATATCCTGAAGTGACTTACTTATTAAGCAACTTGATGATACCAGAAATTCAAACCAGAAGGAGCCTTGGCCGCTTTGACAGCTGCAAGGCTCAATATTAGACCATTTCCAAAGACAGCACATTTTGTGAACGAACTAGAGTGAACCAAATAAATAGAAGCCCCTGATGTGAGCACCATGGGAAAAAGCAGACCAATCTGAAATTAATTCTCACAGGATCAGTGTATTGTTTTAAGTTATTCTCATTGTATTGCAAAGTATTAGCCTAGTGTGCTCTGATTCATGGGGTCATGAAGAGTTGGACATGACTTAACGACTAAACAACAACAAAGTTTTACAAAATATTTGCTCCTCCTTAGTTGAAATGCATTGTGTTTTTGGACTGCCTTGAGGCTGAAGGCATGAACTCTCATGAAGAGTTCCCTCAGCATCACATTTACCACTGCTTCAACAACTGTATATAGTTAGAGATTAGAGAATGTGACAGATCACACTTATAGGATCAAATAAAGGAACCTAGCTATCACTCAGGTGGATCAAAAGAGCTACAACTCACAGAGCATTCTTTCCTTCTGATTAACAATGGAGCAAAAGTGTTTTGCAGACTATGAATCCTAAATAAACCACAAGACAAAATGTATTACTGAAAAATGTCATGTGATTATATGAGAAAATAGCTATAAAAATATCATATGAATGTAGATGTTTGCCAAACATTCACATTTTAAAGCATCTTTGCTATGAAAACCACCCTATACTGGTGTACTATGAAAATGTGACATGAAATTAAAACCATGGTGAATGGGCTGTAGATTTTCCAGCATAGCAGGAGACTTCTGATTTTCAGAGAAAAATTCTTAACCCCAAGAACACCAATGTTCTTTCTCAATTTTCATAGCAAGTCTTGAAACATAGAGAAAAAACACAGTGAGTGAACACAGAATAGAGAAATTAGAAACAATATGAAGATCAATATTCCTTGTTTGTTAAATATCCCTTGTTTTCATTATCTTCTGCAGGATCTCCATTCTGCAGAAATTAATTACTTCCCTTCAAGGCTATAGCCTGCAGGAGTTCCATAGAATTAATACCAACAGCTCCATTCTGTCTGTTATCTTGGAAAGGATGACCAAACTTTAGCCCATCATCCACAAATGGTGCTCATCTAGCAGTTTCTCTTTAAACAAGATTTATGTTAGTTTGCCAGATTTAGTTGTAGTCTTTTCATCTGTCAAACTGTGTGAGGGCGTGACTACACCGCCCAAATAATTTGAGAGTTGTGTCAGGGTATTATGGTAGCAATTCATGTCATGTGCTCTCTGTCCCCAGCCTCATGGGGCAGCGTCAATTGAACTGTGTTGTTTCAGTGCAGGGGACAACGGCCCTCTTTAAATGGCCTTAAATAGATCCAAGGTTGGCACTTTGATCCACCCATGGGTTTGCTTTGGTTCCACTTGCATTCTGTCCTTGTCCCTAAGCATCTTGTTTGGAGATTTTTTTTTTAATTCTAAGCCGCATAGCACTGCATCAGTGTTGCAGACAAAAAGACTTTTAACATATATGTGATACAGTGCTAAGTTCAAATGGTTTATTTAATTTTTTAAGGAAAATATTTTGGACAGCAAGCATAATTGCTGATTTCCAGAAGGGAAAGCATCTGGTACCACCTCACACACATAACCAAGATAACAGGGAATACCTCAGCACACAGAATACCATGATAGGGCTGTTCACACAACCAAAAATGTTTCAAAAAACATTGTGACATAGAGACATTTAAAATAAACAACCTCCTGACGGGTGTTCAGAAAGCAACAATTCCTTGAAGAAAGGTGCAAGTCTTCTCTATGCTTAAAATAACATTGTGTAGTCAGGAAATCGTGAATAGATTTTCTTCATGCTAAACCCAGAGTAATTGGAGGAGTATATTTCAATGTAGTTGCATTCTAAGTCAAAGGAAGTCTAAAAAGCAAAAACTGGGATATAATTTGCATACTTTAGAGTTTTGCAAAATAGAGCTGTCAATCATATATTGTAAAAAAAGTACAACAATGAAAAAACAAAATAAGGGTTTTCAAAACACCACTTTGGTGGATTTTTGTTCTGCTTTGCTTTGGTTTGCTGCAGTGCATGATCTGATTATGTAAACCCCAGTAACACACTGGTGCATGCCAACCATGTATTTTATGGGTGTGGGTGTCATTTGATGGCATTTCGCCTTCTACTGGTGAGTCTCTATCCTTGCATATTTTATTGCCACTCTTGTTTTGTTTTCTTGGGAGAGGAGCTGCTCATGCATTTTGTTTTTTAAGTTTTTAAATGTTATCAGTTTTGCACCATATTGCAACACTTTGCTGTCTTGTACCTATGATGGTATAAAAGTGAAAAATAAAAATGAAAACAAATTAAGCGAAAATATGCAGGTCTGAGAATGAACAGCTGGTAAAAGCAAGGAGGGAAAGGAGGAGAGAGTGAAGTTGGGAGAGAGAGAGACAGAGAGCAGAGAAGACAGTAGCTGCCCTTGTACTCTACTTTTTAATTTTCTTTAGGGTTATAACTTTTGCAACATAGCACAAAAGTGAAAAATACTGTAAAAATAAATAGAAAACAGGGCAGCAAATATAATATGTGAAGTTAGAGAACAGTGGAGGGATAAAAGAAGGAGGGAAGTAAAGAGGGAGTGAATTGGGTGAAGAAAGGATGGGAAAGATAGGCAAAAGAATATAGCAATGTTGGGACTGAGAACTCTGGGAGCCATTCTGGATGCATGCGGACAGGCAGTACTAGGAGGAGCCAGTGCACTCCAATACACACAGCAAGAAAGACCTGTGGATACCAACACTGGGATGAACAATTCAAATCTGTGCCAAAATATATGTACAAGGACGATCCAGAATGAACCAAAAACAACCAGGGACAACAACAACAAGAACAACACTCTTTGAACGAGACCATGATCAACAACAATTTGCTGCCCAGAGTAGACTATCTGTCTAGATGGGCGGGCTATAAATCTAATTAAACAAACAAACAAAAAACAAAAAACAAACATGTGATTTAGAGACAGTGCACTGCCAAATGCAAGTGGAAAAATTATCTATTTATAAATATCCTATAAACATACTCTAATCTCAAAACCACTGAAATAGTAGTTTTACTCAAAGACTGAAAAGTTACTTTTAAAGAAAACGACTCTCATGACATGCTGAAACTACCCATAACTAAGCAGAGGGAGGAGGATGTTCTAGGATAGTGGTTCCCAACCTTGAGTAACCCAGGTATTCTTGGACTGCAACACCCAGAAACCCTGGCAAGCACAGCTGGTGGTAAAGGCTTCTGGGAGCTGCAGTCTAAGAACACCTGGGTTACCCACAGTTGGGAACCACTGTTCTCGGGCACAGAATGTTACCCTACTTCTGCTTAGTTATGGCTGGCTTTGTTATATCATTATAGTAATTCTCAAGCAACTTTCTAAGCTCTGCTTTTACACATAAGCAGCAACATAAGAGCTGGCCTGACTTGTGAAAAATGTTGTGGGCATTTCCTAATGGGAAATCTTTGGGGCATCAGTTTGCTGCTTTAATACTTTCACTACTGCAAAAGTCAAAGACCCAGTGTGACCCATCATACTTTAAGTAGCTGTCCAGGAGAGTTTAATTAGTTGACCAAGCAGGAAAAACAGGTTGGTCAGGAGTGTTGTGTAAATTTATGTTTCCTGATTAGCGTTAAGCAAGCGACTAACAAAGTACAAAGCTGCTTTTTGAAGTTAATATCAGAAAACACTTGAATGTAAGCTAGTTTACACACTTGGCGACGCTAAATATCTCCAAGCAGCAAAACAGTTCACTTGGATTGTGGTCATCTTGAGAAATGAAAGCAAGCCACTTACCTCTTCCAGAGCAAGGTAAAGATGAGCTTCCTTGGCATTTCCTAATACTCTCTTCAGCTGACATGGGACAAGAAAGTGGATGCTCGCACTTCTTCCCTGTCCAACCTGGCTTACAGTCACATCTTCCACAGTTACACTGTCCATGACCTTCAATGACAAAATGAACAAATATATTTCAGCTCCATCTTTATCCATATCACATTAAACCCCTACAGTCTCTCCCAGGCCCTGTTCAAATGTTATCATGAGCAGTGATATTACTGGCATGTACATGGCTTCTCCTGATAGTACTTACATTTGTCTTTATGTTTGCTTCTCATGTGGACACTGAACTGGTCCTTCTAATAGAAAGGGTGAATTGGCCATCTCAAAATGCTACAGTCTGAGATGAGGAAGAGGCAGTGGACAAAGACTTGCATATCAGATGCCCCCTAAGCTACACTATCCCCTTCACGCGCAGTGGAAAACAGCATCCTGTCAGGCATGTACAGTAGGAGGAAAATTCCAGCTTCTGAACTTAGAAGAGGGTGCTATCTTGACATTGGAAATTGGCAAATTTCCATTTCCATTATTTGCATTGATATTTGAAAATGTTTAACTTGGTTGTGGCCAGCACCAACCTAGGCTTTTCACTTTTAAAAAATAACTTCCCAGTAACATGTTTAACACCAGCCATTAACCAGCCATTAACCAGAACCTATGGCTAAAAAAATGAAATATTTTTATTACATAGGAACATCAGCTTCAGAACAGATCTAAGTTTCAGTTCTTCTTCAGTTACAGCAACCCAACAACAACCCTTTTCCTCAGTTACACTCTCCTTCTCATCACCCTCCACTCCCTCATCCTTCAAGCTTCAGGATAGGCTGTCTACATGCACCACCCAGCCAATCACCTTGCTTCCCTGCTGACAAGCAAATTGGTCAGGGTTCCCAACATATAGATAAATTACTGTTATTAAAAAATAAGTTAAAATGTTAGTCTTATATGGTTTCTGCAAATGAAAAAACAACAACAATCCTTTCTCAAGAAGAAAAGCAGCCACTCACAAATAAAGTATTTCTGCCATACATCAAAGGGGTCATGGACCACATGGGGAAAATTTTGAAAAAACACAACCTACAAACAGTATTCAAGCCCACCACAAAAATACAACAAATGTTAGGGTCAGCAAAGGACAGAAGGGATCCCCTAACTGCTACAGGAGTATACCGGATACCTTGCAGTTGTGGTAAGGTATATATTGGGACCACAAAATGCAGCATCCATACCAGAATAAAAGAACATGAGAGACACTGCAGACTAAAACAACCAAAAAATAATAATCAGCTGAACACGCCCTGAAATAAGCTGGATGTCATGAGTTCAGCCGGAGAAGATCTGGAATCTGAGGGGTTAATTACAGCTGAGGAAAATGCAGGGCACTTAGAAGCACAGACAGCTGAATCACCACCAGATTCTCCTCCCCCAGTAGCCAGGGTGAGGGCTAAACTTCAGCAAAGACTCATGACACGAAAGTCAGAGGATCGCATGAATGGTTCCCATAGGAACATCAGGTTGACCAGCCCTGAGTTTTAGCAGGATGAAGTGTTTAGATGACTGCTGCTGCTATAAAATCTGCACCCAGAGGCTTGGAAGTTTGTGGAAGCAACAAGTCACCACTTGGGCTTGCATTCGTGGTCCTGCTCATCTTGGACCTTGTTCTCTGGACCCTTGGCTTTGGACTCTGACTTTGGTTTGTGTTTTGGCTTTGGCCTTTTGGTATCTGCTTTGCATCTCCTGGACTTCTGATATTGGATGGGTTTATTGGACTTTTGCCTGCTGAAACCCCCTGGGAACATGACACTAGACATGAAATTCTATTTCAAAACACAGAAGCAATCCAGCAATCATTATGTTGGACTACACAGGGAAGCCATTGAAATACACAAACACCCAAAAAAGAAGAAAGTCTAAAACTCAACAAAGCATGGCTCCCAGCACTGAAAAATACAGCCTGCAAAAGGTCAACAAACTTTACCCAGCCAGAAGGACCTGTAATCACTGCACACAAAAGACTAACTAATGACACCCATCAATCACAGTGACAGATCATCTCCCCCCTTATCACAACAATACACCCATAACAAAAAACAGCCTGATCACCATAATCACCCAGTCTCCTGAAAAGAACAAAAAGCTGTTCTCACCGCTACAAATACTACACTACACTAGAACACAGAGTTCTAACTCCTGTCCTCTGAAGATGCCAGCCACAGAGACCGGCAAAGCATTAGGAAGAAAAACCTTCAGAACAAGGCCAAACAGTCCAAAACACCTACAACAACCAATCCTTTCTTTTATTAAAGAAAAAGAATCGTATGCCTTTCTTCTAAGATTAAATGTGTGCTTAACAGATCAACCTCTATTATGCAAAGGACCTCAGACTATGAGACTAACCAGTGTGGTGCAGTGCATAGAATAAGGGACTTAAGACTCAGGAGACCTGGGTTTGATTCCCTGGCTCTGTCATGGAAGCTCACCCAGGGAAAGGGGAGACAGAACTGGTAAACCACTCTACCCCACTTACCTTGAGAACCCTATCACAGTTATTATAAACCAGTTTTGACCTGAGAGCACTTAACAACAATTTAACCTATTCCTCAACTCCTTTAAAATCTATAGCATTCTCTGAGGGTATAAGAAAGAATTATTCTGCAAACAATCAGAGTTTGCTTTTAAAAAATGGTACCATAGCACAATAAATGTCTTGCTAAAAATACAAACCTATTTAAAAATGAAAGCTGAGAGCACTGCTATCATCAGCCAAGGCAACTACTGATGTTATGGCAACCAATTCTCATTACATCCACATCAGTTCAACACAGTTGTTCAACAACAGGGAGAAAAACCATGCACGGATATAGAGGCTTCAGAATCCCATTATCATGTTTGTAAAATGTGTGTGTGTTTGTTTTTTGGAGCAAACCACAAAACCCAGCAGTCTCTTTGCCAAGAGATACCTGGCTTGAATTGCATGGATCTCAGTAGACGAGCAATGTGCTTGATTCATGGTTTTGTGTTGTAATGTGTGTGTGTGTGTGGGGGAGACAGAAAGGGTGGGGGAGACAGAAATGGTAGGGGTGGGAAGCTGGTTGAAATAAGCAGGAAACTCCTTACTTGGAAGTAAACCTCATTAGTTTAGTGGGACTAATTTACTTCTGAGTAGACATTTAACAGATATACTGTGCTGTACTTTTGAGGTTTTTTCTTTTTCTTTTTTAGGATAGACATAGGCAAGGGGAAACAAAGGTTTGGTGAGTTGTGTGTGTTCTTTTATTCCCAAATCCTGAGTGGAATGTAATTCTGAGTTAACACTTGCTTTCAGGTAAGTGGATATTGATTGCTAGTAAGTCTACGTTTCCATATGATCCAACAAGCATACACTGATCAGCCACAACATTAAAAACACTGACAGGTGAAATCAATCGCATTGACTATATTGTTACAATGGCACCTGTGAAGGGGTGGGATATAATAAGCAACAAATGAGCAGTCAGTTCTAGAACTTCACGTGTTGGAAGCAGGAAATATGGACAAGCAAAAAGAACTGAGTGACTTTGACAAGGCCCAAATAGTCGTAGTCAGATGACTGGGTCAGAGCTTCTCCAAAACAGCAAGTCTTGTGAAGTGTTCCCACTAGACAATAGTTAGTATGTACAAAAAGTGCTGCAAGGAAGAGGAACCAGTGAATTGGCATCAGGGTCTTGGGTGCCCAAGACTCATTGATGCATGTGGGGAGCAAAGGCTAGCCCATCTAGACCGATCATGCAGAAGAGCCATTGTAGCTGGAATTTCGGAAAAGCTTAATGCCAGCCACGACAGAAAGGTGCCGGAGCACACAGTGCATTGCAGTTTGCTTCATAAGGGACTGCATAGCTGCAGATTGGTCAAAGTGCGCATGATGAACCCTGTCTGCTGCCGAAAGTGCCTACAATGTGGACATGAGCATCAGAACTGGACCATGGAGAAATGGAAGGAGGTTGCCTGGTCTGATGAATCACATTTTCCTTTAGATCAGGTGGATGGCTGGGCGCATATGCATTCCCGGGAAAGAGATAGCAGCAGGATGCACTATGAGAAGAAGGTAGGCCAGCAGAGGCAGTGTTAAGCTCTGAGCAATCTTCTTTTGGGAAGCCTTGTGTCCTGGCATTCACATGGATTTTACTTTGATACCTACCACCTACCCAGAGATTGTTGCACACCACGGGCTCCACTTCATGATAATGCTGTTCATTGAGGGCAGTGGCCTCTTTCAGCAGGATTATTCATACTGCAAAAAATGTTTGGGAACGGTTTGAGGAACATGACAAATGGTTCAAGGTGTTTCCTCGGTTTCCAAATTCCCCAGATCTCAATCCGGCTGAGCATCTATGGGATGTGCTGGAAAACCATGGATGGGATGTGCTGGAACTCCGTAGGATCCGTGGAGGCTCCATCTTGCAACTTGCAGAACTTAAAGGCTCTGCTGCTAATGTCTTGGTGTCAGATACCACCACAGGACATGTTCAGGGGTCTTGTGGAGTCCACATCTCATTAGAGCTGTCTTGGCAGCATGAGGGGGACCTACACAATATTAGGCAAATTGGTTTTGTGGTTGTTGCTGATCAGTGTATATTGAAATGCATGATAAAATGTCTGAAGATTTACATGAAGTTAGCATACAATGGCCCAAATCCTCTTGGCTAGTTACAATATAAACTGCTGGCACCAAACAGCCTTAAGTTAAGAAAGCAGTGAAGACATTATCTATTGCATACTGAGCTGTACAACTCAACCTACAGTTGATAATGCCTGTGATGATTTCTTCACCTGAGGCAATTTGCCTCCAAACATTACATCATTTACATAGCTATGTAAGAGCATTTTCACTTTCACCATGTAAAGATTTAACTGGAAGTCAAAGCTGAGCACCCACATAAGCTAAATGAAAGCTTCCATTAAGGTCAGAAGCACTGTAAACTCTGCCCTTCAAAGCAACACAGCTGCTATTTATTTGGTTACAGATTACAGAAGATCTACAGGCTCTTCAGTACTGTCCAGAAAAACAGAACATTTTGCAGATTGCTCATTCATAGTATGTCAGAGGTAACTTGAAGGCACATATT